TATCTCTATATATATATATATATACACACACACACACAGTCGTTCCAGTCGTTCCACATTCCTATGAAAGAAATCAAGGTATATAGGATATTTTTTTATTACCAAGAATTACAAATATATACCAGACAGAACAGACAGTGCTATCACTGGAATCTGTAGTAGAATCTTGATAATAATGGGTAGAATTTAATAGTTTAATACAAATATTTAATATTTTAATATATATGTGTGTGTAGGTCAATATGTCTTTGTTACGTGGAGGTTCTTGATTATCGTTGATGAGAGGATGATCGACAACGGGGTTATTGCCCAGACAGGATAAGCAATAAGACAAGATATGAAATTAGTGTTTTGTATAACAATAGATCTTAACAGAGATATGGAACAGAACAACACGAGCCCAATAATTTAATCAATCACATTAAAAAATGAAATTGACTATGACATTTAAATAATACAATTTCCCATAGAAATAAAATTGCCATCTTATACAAATTGCAATAATCCGTTCTATTTATACCGATAAAACAAACGTGATCATGAAATCGAGTGAACGATCAATTGTCCAGCATACCTGCATAACTTGGTTGGTTGCCTGTCCTTCCAAATGCAATATTGATGACAGACCAGAGTCGCAGTTTCCTACTTTCTTTTTTCTAAATAAACCTCCTTTCGGATTGCCAATCGTATTTCTCCTCTCTTCCACGCTGTATGGGTGATACATATGAAATTATCCTCAATGTGCCTTCTCAGGACTCGGATTTTTTCTATGCAGTAGAATCACTTGGTTCCGTTAACTTCCGTGACCCGTAACTTCCTCACACCTTTCTATTTGTCAATTTTAATGAGAAAGAACTTTCTACTAATCTCGGGTTCAGCTTCTTGTCTTCTTGCTGAGACTTATACTGACTAATTCCGCTACGGAAAATACTTAAAACATTGAATTTCATCTGAGAACACGCACACGCACACGCACACGCACACGCACACACACACACACACACTTTTTTTTAGCTAAGACACTCAGGATTACATATATCTAACCGCCGAAAATTAACCAATGTATATGCAGGTTTGATCAACATCTCACATTTGCCTGCTTAGTACAGTAAACGATTTCCTTGAAAATCACATTTTATGACACTTATTTCAAATGGTACGAAGTTGTCGATGCATTTTTTTTTTTATTGACATTCTTCCGCTTCTTAAACCCAAATTAATCTCGACTCGTCAATCTGTCTGACTGTTATCCCAGTTAAAAATCAAACATGCTCCTAACAGGAACACTACTTCATTTTAGTTTTAGGATAGCGATTCATGGCGGTACCTTACCCATTCATCAATTGTAATTGGTGTGTGTGTGTGTGTGTGTGTGTGTGTGAGAGAGAGAGAGAGAGAGAGAGAGAGAGAGAGAGAGAGAGAGAGAGAGAGAGAGAGAGAGAGAGAGAGAGAGAGAGAGAGAGAGAGAGAGAGAGAGAGAGAGAGAGAGAGAGAGAGAGAGAGAGAGAGAGAGAGAGAGAGAGAGAGAGAGAGAGAGAGAGAGAGAGAGAGAGAGAGAGAGAGAGAGAGAGAGAGAGAGAGAGAGAGAGAGAGAGAGAGAGAGAGAGAGAGAGAGAGAGAGAGAGAGAGAGAGAGAGAGAGAGAGAGAGAGAGAGAGAGAGAGAGAGAGAGAGATTAGTCTGTGATTTATGCTGAGAACCCTAATATGAGGTCAAGGTAAAGAGAAGTAAGATCAATTATCAAGTGCCTGCCAGACGGACTGCAAAAACTCAAATATCAGACTACACTGTCCATCGTAAGGAATTATTAACAGTTCATTGTATTTCCATTGGCAAACAGCTACCGAATTTTATTATTCATATCATAGTGAGAAATTTAAATGTTCCAAGTCTTTCTTTTTTAATACGTTTTCCACATGAATCACGGAAACGGTCAGCGATTGAACTTACCAGACATATTGCTACGTGTCACCCATACAGTATATACCAGTAATTATCTTCAACAAATGAGGCACCTTTTAAAGGAGGGGGACTCGTGATTAAGTTTAGTAATCAATTATTTTGGGACAGCACGTTTAACTCGCATGCTTGGAAACGATGGATAAATCTGGCGTTGATTTAAAACCGAAATTAAGTGATGCACAAAAATTGTATACAAGTCGCGGGTTTGAATCCCGGCCGAGTCATACCAAAGACTTGTAAAAATGGTACTAGCAGCTGCCTCGCTTGGCGTTCAGTATTAAGAGGTTAGTGTTAGGACTGGTTGGTCTGGTGTCAGGATAATGGGTGGTACATGATGCTACATGTCTCACCCAGTGCTAGACATCACTATAAACTGACACACTGCAGTGTTGTAGAGATATGACTGAAATTTTTTGAAAGCTACGTTAAAAAACCACACACATTTATTTATTTATTTATTTATTTATTTATTTATTTATTTATTTATTTATTTATTTAAGGGCTGCTATTGACGAGTCTTAATAAGATGATCATGAATATTATTGTCTCGTGAAAACGAGGCTAAGCTAGGCAGAACGGGACTATACTGCATATAACACATGTAAATTCCTTTTGCGAGAGAATATATTATATTGACTGCCGCTGTAATGGAAAATAATGTATTTTATAGAGATTGTTTCCTTTATGTAAGAATATTTTAACGTATAGAATTACCACTGTATAATGATGATATGTCCATTCTCTAAAACTTAAGTTGATTTACGTCCTATCTTGAGGGTCCCTTTTCTCTACAGCACACAACATACAATTAACGATAGAGAAAATAATCTACTTATAGCATGAATTTTGTTTCTGATTAGGTTCCGTTTAAGTGTACAGCTACGACGAATCAATACAGTGGTCAAAACACTCGGGCAGAATAAAACATGTATGTATGTATGTATGTATGTATGTATGTATGTATGTATGTATGTATGTATGTAGGTAGGTAGGTAGGTAGGTAGGTAGGTAGGTAGGTAGGTAGGTAGGTAGGTAGGTAGGTAGGTAGGTAGGTAGGTAGGTAGGTATGTATGTATGTATGTATGTATGTATGTATGTATGTATGTATGTATGTATGTATGTATGTATGTATGTATGTATGTATGCATGCATATATATATTCATTGATTATACTTAATATTATTTTTGTGGAGTTTGTATTATGGATGAATTTTAACACCCAATATGCACATGCAGACATTAGATAAAGTAAACATAATAGGGAAGAATCATGTCTAAACAATAAAAAAAAAATTGTAATTTTATGTATGGGTTATTCTAGTAATATTTTCTATTAACAATAATTTTTTCTTTAATCTTAACAAAACCTTTATCTGCCATAATTTGATGCCATGGTTCTAACAAATCTATAATTCCTAGCTTGGCCTCGTTTTGGATTCGTTGACATAGAGTCACATGAATACATGAATACATTATAAGAATGGTCTATAAGTATGTTGATTCACAGTGTTAGACCCAATTTTTTATCCATGGGCATCATGACATTGTCATGAACGGACGGGCGTTCCAAAAATGTTGATAGAGAGTTTATATACTTAAAAAAGGCATTTGATCAGACGTAAATTAAGTAAAAGAGGTATAATTCAGTTTATATGTTGATAAAAGGCATATATTTGCATCTTAGTTTGAATAGTTTTGGGAGTTGGTGTTTAAATTTGAATTTTTCATTCCCAAAATTGCGGGCAAAATTATGTAAATACCATATTGTAAAGTCTGTTGAAAATTAAATGGCATGTTTGTATCTCGATGTAGAGAATCTTATGCAGATCTAAATGTTATTTAATTTTGATATTATATTTCAACTAGTTTTGTGATGAAACGTTTACGTAAAGCATCGTCATCCATCCATCCATCCATCTCTCCACGAGACATTGTCCCACTCTTCGGTATATCATTGATCACGTCGGAATAGATAACCTCACAAAAGAAGGGGGCCATTGATAGCTGTTTTGGAAACATGTTCGTGTGTAACTGGGCTTAGAATATATATCAGTATATATTGAATATTCAATATTCAATATTGTAATATTATATGGTAAGTGCTTATTAATTCCTTTATTCTTTCATTTTTTTTCCACAACTGGACTTGACCAACTGTGACAGTTCGCAAATGTAAGTTTGTTTGCGTGATTAGTATAGCTTTGTCTCACCTGCTCAGGTGTACTTCTAAGGGATATAACTCTGTTATTCTTAATGGATGATCATCTGCCGCCAAGACCATTGTGGCTGAGGTTGTGTTACGTGATACCTGTGAAATCCTTTGTACTTCTATGAAATAACTAGAAGCAAGCTACTTTACGTTTTACAATTAATCAACAAAGCTCTGTTTGCTCAAATTGATTAAACTACTGCGTATAACCAATTTTGAGGCGTTTATTATTCATAGAATCGATTTGACACGAATTGTGAAAATCTGCTATTGCCGACCCGATTTTAGTATTAATTGAATATGTATTATACCTTCACGCTATTATGATTGGCGGAACGTCTGTCCGTTCAGGACTGTATCATGATGCCCAAAATAATATCTAACTTGATAATTAGCATGTTTAATGTTCTTTGAAATGTCCGAAGTCAATGTAAAAGTGATGATATACGATCATTATATATAGATAACTTCATTTTTCTAAAAAAAAAAAAATAGTTTCAAACTTTCAATCTCCTGCGTTGCCTTTCATCAAGTTGAACACGGACAAAAAAACGCAGTTGGAAGCATTATATATATATATATATATATATATATATATATATATATATATATATATATATATATATATATATATATATATATATATATATATATATATAATCACACACAGTCGTTCCAGAATCATATGAAAGAAATCAAGGTATATAGGATTTTATTTTATCTTTTTATTACAAAGAATTATAAATATATACCAGACAGAACGGACAGTTCTATCCCTGGATTCTGTAGTAGAATTTTATTAATCAATGTAAAAGTGCTAATATACGATCCTTATGGTGGCCTAGTGGTTAAAACATCCGCCTCATATGTGGGAGGTCATGGGTTTGATCCCCGGTCGAAGTATACCAAAGACTTACAAAAATGGTACCAACAGCTGCCTTGCTTGGCGCTTAACATTAAAGAGGTTAGTAGTATTAGAACTGGTCGGCCTGGTGTCAGGATAATGTGAACGGGTGGGACATCATGCTACATGTCTGCGGCATGATGCCCCAGTGCTAGATATCACTATAAACTGCCACACTACAGACATCGTAGCTACTATACACTTCGAAAATGTTTATCTCTAATATATCTATCACTGATGAATATAGGCAGTCTCCGTTCTTCTCAAATGCAAACTTACATCAATAGTCCCTGTGTCGGCATTCAAGTGTTGAAAATTATACTAACGTTAAACTACCAATATTCCACACCTATTTATATAGCTACCTGTGTTCCTATACATCTGACGGGACGATTACAGTCACGCGTACAGTCCGACCTTTACACCTTAACTATTTACCTGGCCCTTGCTGACGTCACTGTTTTCTGTTGCAAAACGTGGTTCAATCTAAGATTGGAGCACAACGCCTCGTTCTGATACAGTTAAGAGGGTGTTATTTTTTTGTGGCGAATTTCATACGACAAAGAGAAGGCAAAAGAGACGAAGTATTACCACTTGAATAAGTAAGCTAGCCACATGGGAAGTTTATTGTGTTACATACCAGGACAAATACAACTATAGGCGAGAAACGGATTGATCAATATCTACAGCAGGTTTGTGACGTTGTCTCGTAGTATCGATCTTCTTTCTGTAATTAAATATGATCGAAATGTATTGGTTAAGATGTACTTCTGTTAGACTCGAGCGGTGTACATGCATAATATGTAATTTTATATCATATATTAAGAGACTTTAACTCGGTGTATTGATAAGTAAGTACTTCTGTTAGACTCGGGAATTTATATGCATATGTAATTTTTATCTCGTATATGAAGAGACTTTGAGCCGGTTTATTAATAGGGATGTACTTCTGTTAGACTTGAGGATTTCATATGCATAATTCTTAATTTCATCTCGTTTATAGTGAGAATTTAAGCCGATTCAGTTGGCTACACAGCTAAAATGTTGGTTGTGCATTCTTAATGGTCCGTAATTTGTTTACCCCAAAGGGTAATACATTTACGTCTCACACCTGCCATTAGTGGACAAATGAACCCATGCGTACCGAGACTGGTGAAGAAAAATGAAGGTCTTATCAATTTCCTATAATTTAAGGTGTTTTATAGTTGGTAGATAATTCTTATGTTTTAATTTTGTTGTAGTATTTAGAGATTAATTTTTTTTGACACACACACACAGAATATATATATATATATATATATATATATATATATATATATATATATATATATATATATATATATATATATATATATATATATATTTGATTTGACATTTAGTGAAAAGTTCCTGTTAAAATTCAATCTTGGCATTGTGTGTGTGTGTGTGATTTGGATTTTAAACGTAACTTTCACAATTTTTCAGTCATATTGCTACGATGTCTGCAGTGTGGCAGTTTATAGTGACGTCTAGCACTGGGGCATCATACCGCAGACATGTAGCATGATGTCCCACCTAGTCACATTATCCTGACACCAGGCCGACCATTCCTAACACTAACATCTTAATGCTGAGCGCCAAGCGAGGTAGCTGTTAGTACTATTTTTATAAGTCTTTGATATGACTCGGTCTGGGATCGGACGCTCTAACCACTAGGCCATAAGAGCGGTCGGCATTATTTTTTACTTTGTTCCCGACGGAAGTGTATTTTTACTATGCTCGAAATTTCCTTTAAATTACTGAATATTTTACATGATTTAGTTTTTAAACCTTCTATGGTGTTTGAAAATATTTCAAACTGAAGGGAAGAAGAAAAAAAAAATGCTTTAGAAAATAACGAATACGTCGCCTGTTTTGCTGGTTACTAGAAACACCTAAATACCCTCAAAAACCGAAATGCACAAGTATCTACATGTTTTCGGTGAACATATCGTTGTACATCTCGATATTAAGACTTGTACTTGTTGTTTTAATAATAATAATAATAATAATAATAATAATAATAATAATAATAATAATAATAATAATAATAATAATCGCTGATTTAAGTGATTTTTATACGAATTATTTGCGTTTTACCAATTCCTAGTACATTTCTTGTGATGACGTCACTCGGGTCTACTTGATTTTTCTCGACTGGACATGCGTGATAAATGGCCAAGCAGTCAAAAATTAAAATGTAAGAGGTGAGGTTATGAGTGTGAGAAGCCAGGATGATGATCGACATATTTGTCATATATCACATGCATTAAAAAATAGCATGCATTTAAACTGTTGGAATGAAGCTATTTGATATACCAATACTATTGGTATATCAAATTGTGATCCGCCCATGGCGCAAACAATACTCGTATATAAAAATATTCTCGCGAGCGTTTGTAGTTGATTCTAGATCAATGATCAATATCCACAAATATTCACTAGTGACGTATGAAAAATAATATAGAAAAGTATTAATAATCCCCATTTTTTAAATTAATTTAATATGCTACACATTTTCATCACAATCCTTTCTGCTTTCTATTCTTCCCTCCCCTCTCAAGCACAACTGACAAACTGCACAGAAATGTGGAATGATAGAGAAAAGGAACTTGGGCCGAATTAAAACCTTTAAATAAAATTTACACCAAAAAACCTACAATAATATGGCTCGTCGTAAAAAATACGTGTTGCACTTTCTTTGGGATTTATCAACTTTGTTTATCAATGATACAATGTTGCAAACCAGTAAATTCCTCGGTTACGTGGTACACATACTGAGCAATATTTAATATTATGTTGTTATTTTTTCTTAAACATACCATAATGTAAAGTCGATTATCATTATTTAAATATGAAAATGTCCAAAGCTCTCTCTCTCTCTCTCTCTCTCTCTCTCTCTCTCTCTCTCTCTCTCTCTCTCTCTCTCTCTCTCTCTCTCTCGATCGATCGACCGACAATCGTTGCAGGATAATGGCTTAAATCTATCAAATGGCAAACGTAGAGGATTTTCCGACAATATCTCTGGACTTGTGAATAATTTCCATGCGCCTGAAGGTGAATGGCATTGCATTTATCCACGTGTTGCTACCGCTCTACTTTTATTATTAAAACAATCTTTCATGTTTAAATCATAAGTGTGTATTATATTGATTTAATGAATGTGAAAAAATAGAAACCAAAAAAAATTTAAAAAAAACAAACAACAACAAAAAAACACAAACAAAAAAAAAACAACAACAAAAACAATCAACTAATCATTATGCAGAGAAGATCGTAAATAGCCACTACAGCAGAGAACTACATTTTGTAGCGGACACATTCGGGGATGTGAGGAGTTCATTCATTTGGTCGATACAAGGCTGCCTGTAGTAAATATAAATCAGTTCAAATGGCAAATATATGTATTTGCATGTGATATAAATAAAATATATGTACAGTATGTACGCTGTATCAATGATATACTACTCGTATAAATTTTTCATTAAAAGAAAACTCAGCAAGCTTCGTTTCCTTTCAATGAAAAATCTATACATCTCGTGGTATATCATTGATAGAGCGTACATTATATATATATATATATATATATATATATATATATATATATATATATATATATATATATATATATATATATATATATATATATATATATATATATATATATATATGCTTATGCAAAGTAAATATATATTATAATGTCTGCGACTACTTTCATACCTGACACTGTCGTTCTGTGTGTTTATTACGATTCGCTTTTTATTCTAACGGTTAAGTCAAGAGTGACTGATTGACTTTATGACACGAAGTTAGTTAGAAAATGTAAATAATAGGCAAAAAGCCCTGCTTAAATCGAATTGTAGTTTACTTTTTATAATTATTAATACAAATAAATTATAAGACTTTCGTCTTCTTGAGTATAATGGTAAAAATATTTGCATTTCGGTATTTTAGCTTATTTCGGTGTTGCTAGTAACCCCCATTTTGCTACTTGTACTGATGTTCTCATTGATTTCCTATCAATACTAATTATATGCTTTAACTTTCGATAAATGCAAGGATTTGGTTTTAGCACCCTGAAGTAAGTCTCTGATTTATGTTATACGGGTTTCCTCTCAAGAATTTCTACACCATGACTCCGTTTTATCTAGTCGCAGTCATAAATTCAGGCTAGCGTGATTTTAGACTTTGTTTTTGTTTTTTGCTAACTGAAAAAGTTAATCTGACAAATATATACTCCTACATCTTTTGTTATGAAGTCAAAAATGGTTCCAGGTCAAAATATAACGGTGTGATATACTTCATGGCCGAATGGCGCAGTGACAGTTTTGGTTTGAAAGGTGTCAATGTGCATAAATGTTTGCAGCAACCAGTATTTGGTTATCGGATTAATATATGCCTATTCTTTGCAATTGGTTAGGTGTTTCGTTCAAGAGTCCTATTCTACATGCGTGGGAAATAAGGAAACCAAAAGCAAAAAACTTCTCCGTGGCGGACATGCTGGTTGTGACATAGCATACCAGCCGTGCATCCATCCAACCAGCATGTATTTAAAAATTATCCTCACAAATATTAAAAACATAATTTTTTCCCTTTTCAGTAAGATCTTGAAGCGGAGTTGGGGAGTGGGTGAATACAGCTGATAGCTGAACTGTGCATTTTAGATTGAAATGTTCGTTCCTGGATGTTCAATAGATTTATATGATCTTTAACTAATCACGTAGGATGCTTTCTTGCCTTCCGAACTAGTATTAGTCGGGAACGAGATCGATGAACTAATGAGCTAGCTGAAGCTAATGTTGACCCACAAATGTGGATGAATACAAACTACGATGACGAGAGAAGGTTAATGCGTGAGAGTAGAGGTTGAAGTACTTAGTACCGATACGAATATTTATGAATGACGTTATGGCTGTTGTGTCGCATGCTGTTCTTATAACACGTATTTCTGCTGATTATTTGTCGGTACAGGTATTGATTGAAAGAACGT